TGAGGCAACCACAGGATCTAAACTGCCCAAAAATAAATTGGCAGACCTGAGAAGATAAACTCAGAGAGCGGTCTAATATTTACATAGCTGCTAACAAGAACAGTGTAGGTTTTTCCACAAACATACTAACTGGTTGAGGTCTTGGACAGACTAAACATAGACAGCAGTTGTCACTGTGGGTGTTCTGCCAGCACAAGTGTAAAGTTGTCATCAGAAATGAATATGTGGCATCAAATGGCTTACAGAAATCCAACAAATGTGCATCTTGAACTCTGTATAAGCCAACTCTTCTCAGGACGACCTGGACTTCTTCCTATTAGTACAATGATCAGTTAAATTCACCCTCTATGAGCAAGAAAGGAAAATCAAAGTTTATGTTAGTGACAAAAGATGACTGCCCAGAGTCCAAGTTCATGAATAATAATGTGTAAATACCTATATTGAATCAAACAATAACCACATTAATATTCTGCTTTTAAAATCAATATCCATAGCACAGCTTTAGGCCTGATTTCAGGTAAACCAATTGAAAATAAAAAAAGACCAAGAAAAAGAACAAAATGAAAGTTGAACATTCTCTACCAGGTGAACTTATTAAATGAGTGATTCCAATAAAATATGAAAATTAGGGGGCTGGGATTGTGGCTCAGTGGTAGAGCACTTGCCCAGCATGGGTGAAGCACTGGGTTCAAATCTTGTTACCACATATAAATAAAATAAAGGTCCATTGACAACTAAAAATATTTTTAAAAGATGAAAATTATGCTGTGGTTACTAATTTGCCTTAAAAATTAAAAGAGGTGGGGGTGGGGCAACAGTACTGGCTCAGCATGCAAGAGGTTCTGGTGGGTTTAAATCCCCAAAACCAAAAATAAACACCCACTAGTCTTCCTCAGAAACTTTGCATCCTGAATCACAAACCATTCTCTTTTCTAAAGTATTATTAAAGGCTCTGAAAATCTACAAAATTTTCTTAGACATTTAAAGAAAATATCTGGTCACTTCAGACTTATCTGCTCTTTCTCTCTCCCAATTACCATCCTGCTTACCTAAGACTCTGATATAGCTGGACATGGGTAGTGGCACAAACATGTAATCCTAGCAACTCTGGAGACTAAGACAGGAGGATGGCAAATTCTGTATCACCTATAAGGAAGTCTTCTACTTATTTTTTTTTATACAGACCAATGAAGATGTGTTATTTTCTCTTTTAGTAAATAATCCTTGGGCTGGGGATGTGGCTCAAGCGGTAGCGCGCTCGCCTGGCATGCGTGCGACCCGGGTTCGATCCTCAGCACCACATACCAACAAAGATGTTGTGTCCGCCGAGAACTAAAAAATAAATATTAAAAATTCTCTCTCTCTCTCCTCTCTCACTCTCTCTTTAAAAAAAAAAAAGTAAATAATCCTTTTAAGTTTAGATGCATTAGTAGCCCTCCAAACTCGAAGTGCAAGTGCTTTAACTTTTGCTAATGGAGGCCCAACACTTTGTATTACTGTGGGGTGGTTTTCACAACCCTACCAGATTTTCCACGGCAAAGGATAAGTCTAGTTAGGATTTTTCATGTGATAGTCTTGAGAATTTCAATGAAAATTATCTATTAAAATACCCCCACCACAGAGAAATATTCATCAAACCTACAATCCCATTAGAATACACTTCATAATAAAACAAGCAATTTTTACTTGCACAACAACTAGAAATGCTCAATTTCACAAAGCTAAAATCTTTCAAGGTAAAATACATGTAAAAACACCATATAAGGGACCACCAATGAATCTGCTTATAAATTCAGGTAGCTGAAACTAGAGATGAAATGAATTAACTCAGAATAATCTAAGGTGCTATGATCTGGTTGCCCATTCCTCTGAGCAGGGCTCTCCCCACACCCCTCCCCAAAAAACTGTGGGTTTATAACAGTTGTGAAATCAGTTCAGTGGAAATTGACCTGGTTTTTTAAAAAATGAAATACATTGTAGATGAGAAAGTGCTAGTGTTCTTTGCACTTTTGTCTGGTGAAACATGTTTCAATATGTATACAGGACCAGTGTAAAATCTATTTCTCACTAAATCAAGGTCAAAGGAGAATTTGAGACTCTGGCCCAAAAGAATTCCAGGAATGTCCAAATCACTTATATCAGGTAAAATGTAGTGCTCCCTTACCAAAGGTCACTCCCTAAACACCTCACCCATCATCTCCAGTCTTTCCTAATTTGCAACTGGTAAAATATTTTTAAAATATATTTTAAAATATAAATATAAACTCTGGCATTGGTCATTTTAGACCATGATTAGATTTTTCTTTATTGTTCTTTCTTGGTATTCCTTTTAAACCTAAATACATCAACGATAAATATCCTTAACCCATTATCACTTTAGTTCTTAGAAGCTCAGCAACTGCATCCTTAACATAACCTACAAATAGGTGTATAACTGATAATGTTATCCCTTTGCAAGCACCAGTTAACATGGAAATCACTCCTCTGGGCTGGGGATGTGGCTCAAGTGGTAGCGTGCTTGCCTGGTATGCGTGCGACCCGGGTTGGATCCTCAGCACCACATACCAACAAAGATGTTGTGTCCACCGAGAACTAAAAAATAAATATTAAAAAAAATTCTCTCTCTCTCCTCTCTTACTCTTTCTTTAAAAAAAAAATATTAAAAACAAAAAAAAAAAAGAAATCACTCCTCTGTTCATTATAAGCTGCACTGGAATTATGTTTTTTGTACAAAACTGTAAAGGTCTCAGGGCTGTGGCTCAGTGGTAGAATGCTCTTCTAGCACACGTGGGGCATTGGGTTCAAACCTCAGCACCACATAAAAATGAAATAAGGATATTGTGTCCACCTACAACTAAAAAGTAAATATTTTTTTAAAATTTTATAAAAATAAATATTTTTTAAAATATTTTTTAAAAACCCCAAAGGTCTCTAATCCTAAATTTATTTCATATATAGTTGATTTTATCGGCCATTTAAATATTTTCCCTTTTGACTCTACATTAACCAGTGAACAATGAAGTATTAAAATTGACACAGCCAGAGTAGATACCTCAGGCCTACAATCAGAATACTTGCAAGTTAGAGGCCAGTCTCAACAATTTAGCAGAGACCCTCAGCGACTCAGCAAGATCTTTTTCTTTACTTATTAAAATTATTTATTCTAACTTATTATACATGATGATGATGGTCAGCAAGATCTCATTTCAAAATAAAAAATAAAAAGGACTGGGAACATAGCTTAGTAGTAAACTGCCTCTGGCTGGGTTCAATACCCAGTACCAAAAAATAATAATAACAATAAAATTTAAAAAGCCCTAGAATAAACACAGTGGGCATTACCAACAGAAGAAAATCTAACCAAAAGGCAATGAATGGTGATCCAGGTGATGGGTGGTTCTTCCCTCCCCATACCCTCCTTAAGCAACTTCTTTTTCACCCCAAACCAGACATTCTCAAAGAGCAGGAAAGAGGGGCTTGGGAAATCTTTAATGGTGTAAACAAAGATACATTTATGTAAGGAAAGTTCCTCAGCGGAAGAGACCAAAGAGAAAAGCACCCAGAACATACATAATTAAAGAGAAAGGAGGTAATGAGAAATACGTGATGACTGGAAACAAAAAAATTTTTTTTATTTAATTTTAATGTCAAATTATCATTTTTTATTCAATTTTATAACAAATTATCTCTGAAAAGATTTAAACATTAGAAATCCCATCTGCCTAGATCCCATTGTGTCATATCCAAATATGTAGTCTTTCAAAACTCTCTCTGGACCTACGGACCTATTTGTCCATGGAAATATGATTATGATATAGATTTTTCTTGGATGCATTCCATAAAGATACGTGAAGATTTATCCTATTTGTTCTACCATCTTAACGGTCTTCTAAACAAGCAAATAAGTCTAAAACTCCTCGTTTTCCCTAAAACTAAAGTGGTAGATATATGATGTCCCGAGGTGGGGAAAACATTTTCCCCAAAAGGTGTGTAGGATGGAAACCTAAAGATTTCATTAGGTTAGTTACTATGGATAAAATGTTCATTCCCACGCACCATCACAGGTATTGAAAGTAACAACTCCTAGTCTAAGATAACTCCCTCTTTTGGAGTACCCGTTCACCTACTGGCTCCAGACTCGGTCTATCCATTTAACTGCCCAACTCCCGCGCTCCCCATTGGAGTCAAACCGCTGCCTCTTGGAGAAGGCCATCCTACCGCGCGCTTCGTGCTCATTGGCTCAGTAAGACGCTGCTCAGGAGGGAAAAACCCGCCTCCCACATTCCGATGGCCCAAGCACCGGTCATTCGGCAGCTCAAGGCAGACCCAATTGGCCTATACACTTGCCAGTCAAATTCTTCGGCTGCAAAGCCCCAAAGAACCTGCAAGGATAAAATATCCCGCCCCCTGTTCTTCTATTGGTTGGCCCGATGCATCGCTGCCCTTTCACTATCCCCCCCACCCTGCGGTCCATTCATTTCACACAATAACGGGCCCAAATGGAGCCGGTTCAAGACCTCGTATGCGTAGACAAGACTCTCTTCCACTTACCCGGGATCGAGAGTGATCACTCACACTAACGTCTGCCCTGTTCCTCTGTGGTGGGGCCGAACCACAAGTCACCGCTGCCGCCGCCTTCTGCGCAACGCCAACCGCCCGCCAAAACGGATCCTTCCCTGCGCCTGCGCAACCAATCCTGGAACCGGACCCTTTCTCCGCCCATAACGCCTGCGCAAAAGAGGGCACAACTCCCGCCACTACGCAGGCGCCATAGGTTCACCGCCCACTCCTGCCCGCCATTTCACGTGTTCCAGCGGCAGGCGGAACTTCATAATACGCCTGCGTAAACTCGCCATTTTACTACACATGCGCTCTGTAAGTAGTGACCGCAAAAAGAAGCTTTTACAAGCTACTTATCTAATTTATAGTATTAGTTATGCTTTGCCAGGCGAGGTGAATGTATTATATGGGTGTGGAAGACGAAAAAGGCGCTTACATACCTTGGGTATATTCAAATATGAATGATTGGCGGGCTAGCCAATCAGACTGGTTAAGAGTAACGTAGCTCAGGCACCAATGACTCAAGGGGGCGGGGCTTGCGTAGAACGCCCAAACGGATGACGTTACACAGCAGTACGGAACCATAGACCAATAGAAGGAGAAAGTTATTTCAGACAGCCAATCGGAGCTTTGGAGGGGCGGAGTCTGCCAATGCCGAAAGCGAGGAGGCGGGATAAAAAGGCGAGGCTGAAGGTAGGCTGGTGGATACGTTCGTTAGCTTACTCCTTTCTGCCCGTGGACGCCGCCGAGAAAGCATCGTTAAAGTCTGTCTTCCTGCTGCCGTCATGTCTAAATCAGAGGTGAGTTAGACGCTTTTCGAAAGTTGAGTTTTCTTTCTCGCCCCTTCTGAGTTGGGTGAGATGCTGTGTGGTTTTGCGGCTTGCACTAGCGCTTTCAGCAGATCCTTCGGTCGCTGCCAGGGCCTACTCCTCCCAAAGTTGAGGTCGCCATTTTGTTGTCCTCGTCGTCGCCATGAGGCCGCCGTCCGCTAAATATTAGTTATCACTCCGGACTCGTTAGTAACGTCAAAACTCCTAGACGCATACGGACACTTTTTGCTTTGTCGCATGGGCGAATTTCGTAGAGCTATTAGTATCTTACTGACGATGCACCCCTTCGCACAGTCCTTTTGTTGCGCGTGCGTCCGGAGTAGGGGCGCATGCGCTTGATGCTCTCCAACCCTCACTATCACCACCACCACCCTCAGTGATGGGGAGAAGCACGTGGTTTGTTGGGGTTTCAAGGAACAATAAGTTATGCGCACGTTGGTGTCTGGTTTTGTTTGTCCTAAATGGAAGCGTCCGTGTTATAGCCCCACTTAAACGCGTTTTCCCCACACTCTAGTCCCCTAAAGAGCCCGAACAGCTGCGGAAGCTATTCATCGGAGGGCTGAGTTTTGAAACAACTGATGAGAGTCTGAGAAGCCATTTTGAGCAATGGGGAACACTCACGGATTGTGTGGTAAGACTTGGAAGGGACAAAAGGCAGTAGAATTAGTTGATTTCCTAGGCTTTTCCTGATATTAATCTTGTCTGAATGCTTTGTGAAGGTGGTTAATAGAGGTAATAATGAGAAATAACGAGGCAAAGGGACTGCCTTTGTTCTTTAGTGTACAAAGCTATCTCAAATATATAGTAGTGGGAAACTGAATGGCTTCGTATACAGGATTGGTGTAAAGTTTCTTCTTGGCCTTAAAATAGAAATGATATTACTTTGTAGAGTTGCGCTGTGTATTAAATGAATTAACAATGTTCACAGGTAATGAGAGATCCAAACACCAAACGCTCCAGAGGCTTTGGGTTTGTCACTTATGCCACTGTGGAGGAAGTGGATGCAGCCATGAATGCAAGACCACACAAAGTGGATGGTAGAGTTGTGGAACCAAAGAGAGCTGTCTCACGAGAAGATTCTCAAAGACCAGGGGCCCACTTAACTGTGAAAAAGATCTTTGTTGGTGGCATTAAAGAAGACACTGAAGAACATCACCTACGAGATTATTTTGAACAGTATGGGAAAATTGAAGTTATTGAAATCATGACTGACCGAGGCAGTGGAAAGAAAAGGGGCTTTGCTTTTGTAACTTTTGATGACCATGACTCTGTGGATAAGATTGTCATWCAGAAATACCATACTGTGAATGGCCACAACTGTGAAGTGAGGAAAGCCCTGTCAAAGCAAGAGATGGCTAGTGCCTCATCTAGYCAAAGAGGTCGAAGTGGTTCTGGAAACTTCGGTGGTGGTCGTGGAGGTGGTTTTGGTGGAAATGACAATTTYGGTCGTGGAGGGAACTTCAGTGGTCGTGGTGGCTTTGGTGGCAGTCGTGGTGGTGGTGGATATGGTGGCAGCGGGGATGGCTACAATGGATTTGGTAATGATGGTGGTTATGGAGGAGGAGGCGGCCCTGGTTACTCTGGAGGAAGCAGAGGCTATGGAAGTGGTGGACAGGGTTATGGAAACCAGGGCAGTGGCTATGGCGGGAGTGGCAGCTATGACAGCTATAACAACGGAGGAGGCGGAGGCGGCTTTGGCGGTGGTAGTGGTAGGTATCCAGTGATCCAAGTACTTGGTGTGATAGCTAGATTAGCCTTTTAGAGTTTCTGCCTGTATTGGAATTTGGAGCTTTTAAAGCATTGTGTGGTACACTGCATGGTACATTTAAAACAAGCTTGCTGTGCTACCTCCTCCTGGCTTTAAGCTGGGGCCGCCTCACTCCCTTATAAGTAGATGGGTATGTGTTTAGTGGTGTCTTAAATTTTGAGTTAGGTAAGCAGTACCATGGCAGGACACTTAGTTTTGAATCAACTTTGGGACCTTAGGTACTTAGGTGATTTAGCTTGTATTTGCACTGGCCTTGGATGTGGAAGAAAGGCCTTAAGGTTAGAGTGCTTGCAAATGCCACTAGGGGAAAACTGTTGAGTTGAATGATGTGTTTTGAATACCTTGCCCAGAGATAAAATATAAGGATTTGGAGCCAACAGTTTGGGAGGAAGGCAGGCAGCAAATATATAACCTCTTTTTATTCTGAACACTAAGCAGAATTGGGCACTATCAGTCATCTTCCCCAAGTAATAGACAAGTCCCTCTTTCCATTCCTAGGAAGCAATTTTGGAGGTGGTGGAAGCTACAATGATTTTGGCAGTTACAACAATCAGTCATCAAATTTTGGACCCATGAAGGGTGGAAACTTTGGAGGCAGAAGCTCTGGACCTTACGGTGGTGGAGGCCAATATTTTGCCAAACCACGAAACCAAGGTATTATATATTTGTAATATTGATTGATCTCATTGGACTACCAGTTTTTAAGGTAGTACATATGTAAATAATGAAAATCTGATAATTTAACAATTGTTAGTAATTTGCAATCAAATTTGAAAACTCAACATGACCTCCTCACGCTTTTGTCACTCTAGGTGAAGGTCACTTTAATGGCCGTTCCTTCTTTGAACGTGTCATTGCCTCAAATCGGTACATTTCCGAAATATAAATGAAAGAAATTTCTTTTAGGTGGCTATGGCGGTTCCAGCAGCAGCAGTAGCTATGGCAGTGGCAGAAGGTTTTAATACTGCCAGGTAAGTAAGTAACCTTTTTTATTTTTTTTTTACGTGTTGACATAATTTTTATAATTGCTGATGAACCCAATAACCCTAATATAGCTGAGCAGTGCAACGTAGTTAACATTATAATTGCRGTAAATTGTGGATGTTAAGTTAATATTCAGATTAGCAAAATTTGTGGGAAACAACTTTGCTATTGGATTATAGCCTTGAGTCTTAATATGTTTAGATTAACAACTTTATTCCATATTGTTCAACAGGAAACAAAGCTTAGCAGGAGAGGAGAGCCAGAGAAGTGACAGGGAAGCTACAGGTTACAACAGATTTGTGAACTCAGCCAAGCACAGTGGTGGCAGGGCCTAGCTGCTACAAAGAAGACATGGTTTAGACAATACTCATGTGTATGGGCAAAAAAACTCGAGGACTGTATTTGTGACTAATTGTATAACAGGTTATTTTAGTTTCTGTTCTGTGGAAAGTGTAAAGCATTCCAACAAAGGGTTTTAATGTAGACTTTTTTTTTTTTTTTGCACCCATGCTATTGATTGCTAAATGTAATAGTCTGATCATGACGCTGAATAAATGTGTCTTTTTTTAAATGTGCTGTGTAAAGTTAGTCTACTCTGAAGCCATCTTGGTAAAACTTCCCCAACAGTGTGAAGTTAGAATTCATTCAGGATGATGCCAGGTTCAGAAACCTTGGTGTAGTTGTGACCTTCTGAAGTTCACCATTGAAAGGGTCACCCAAGCAGTCATGGAATTATTTGGTTATAAAAATGATTGTTGGCATATCCTATGCAATATCTAAATTGAATAATGGTACCAGATAAATAATAGATGGGAATGAAGCTTGTGTATCGTCCATTATCATGTGTAATCAATAAACGATTTAATTCTCTTGAATGGAATGAAAACTGTATGGATTTGGGACTGGCAGAGATTTGTACTTTTCCTACCCACTACCCCGATAAATGTTGAATGCTTCTATCACAATGCAAGTTCAAAGCTCTGCCAGAGAATAGAAACCAGTTGCTGGCTAGTGCCACCCCTCAAGTCCACAGATAAGTGTTTGGGAGACATTTGATAAAACAAGAATTTTAATTTACATGAAAATAGGCTTTTATATTAAAGGAAAACTGCAGTTTTGTTGGGTCATGGTCTTGGGTGGGTCTAAAAAGGTTTATATAATATCAACTAGTTATCTGGAGGGCAAAACTAGAAATATGTGGAGCCATGTTTTCTATGTAATTTTGTGTTAACTGCAGTTTTCCTTTAAATTCAACACAAAGATAACACGATCATCCTATAGTGATAATTGTGTAGAAATTCCAAATAGACCCAATAATTGTTATTTGTGCATAGATACTTTTGAGCCTTCCCTTTGGTACCCTCTCAATTTCAGTGCCATTGTACCTAGTAGCATAGATATTTGTTTATACGATAGGACTGTATATTCCATCTCATGGGTGTATCACTTGGAAGTTTTGGGGAGGAGGGGGGTGGTTGGGTGGGGTGGGTGGGAGGGGTGGGGGTGGGGAAGCATGGATGATAGTTCCATGATACTGGCTGAGTTTGCAATAGCAGGTGGAACCTTAACTATTAAGGGAGTTTGCAGATACCTCAGGATTCGTGACAAAGCCTTTAAAGTTCCAGGAGATGTTCAGCTACTAGGAACTGCTAGCAAGTATAGCGCGAATGGCTCCGAGCTCAGACACTCTGCAGCTGAGAGTAGACACTTGTGGTATGTGGAGTACAGATAAGCCAGGGGCAGGCCACGGCACGCTCCATGAAAGCTAGGAGGGAGTGAAGTTTCAGTGATCATCGCAAGGAAGGAGGCAGACAAGAGTAAGGCACACCTGACTCTTAGGACTAGCAGTCAGAACCAGGAGGAAAGGTTTTATTGCTATGCTGGTAGGTAAGAACAGATTTTACTTACATCCATTAGTTACCTAAAATCCAGTTTTCTGTTGCATTCTCCTTAATAAATTGAGCCAAAACTAGTCCAGTTAAGCTGCAATTGGTTTTTCTGGAGATGAATTCTTAACACCCTGCTCTTTGTTGGCTCCCAATTGAAGGAAGTGAGCACATTAAATTATTTCTATTGTGAAGGTATATTTTTGCCCTATAAATTATTCATTTATTACCTTCCTTTCATCCATTTCCTTAAAACAGTGGCTCAAAGTAATGACTAGAATCCTTTCCCCAAAATGGTGGGAGGTTGGGTGGGCTGTTTAACGGGAGGTGGGAGGTATAACTTGAAGATGGGACATGGTCTCAGAAAAGAGTTTGTTCTAAAAGGTTGTTTACTTTTCTAGGAGGAATCTGCTACTACAGGCTTATCAGCTCAATTTTTTAAAAAAAAGGCCAGAAACGTCTGTCCAAGTTCATTGCTAAAGGTAAGTTTTAACAATCAGAGATGTTGCACCTCAGATAAAACAAAAATATTTCATAATGTTGGATTGTTTGTAGTCAGCAGAATTATTAGAACTAAGTGTTATCATAATGAGTGGATACAGTCATAGAATCTTTCTACTCTGCTTACATAAATACTGATAATCTTTTTTCTTTCTGCAGGAACATCCTTGTGAGGACAACCTTTATCTGAGTCAATGTACTTCATTCTCACTGCCATGCAGTTGGTTTTTAGCTGCTCTGCAGCTCTGTAATCATTCAATTTTGTGAGTGACTTCTAATAAACTGGGTTGTTGTTGGTTGTCTGTTTTTGTTTTTTTTTTTTTAAGCTTTATTTCTTGTTCCTCTGTGTTAATAGTAAATGACCTGATGCTGCAATCTTTGAAACCATTTCAAATTGGCGAATAGGATATAGGGGTTTGGTGATTTACACTAGTTGTCTGGTGGTAAGTCAGAAAAACAACATGGATGCTTAAAATGAAATCTTGAGTTCCTGAAGTGGTTCTAATACTCTGGTTCTTTGTTTTGTGCTGGGAATTGAACCCTGGGCCTTCAGCATGCTATACAGATATTTTGCTGCTGTTCTGTACTCTTGAGCTTACATGTTTGGGATACGTTATGGTTCATACTCCCTGAGTCATGGTTTAGTAAAAGCCAAAAAAGCACAGTGGGGATAATATGACCCAATAGAAATACTTTGTTTACTTCACTCTACTGGAGCATGTGTTTCTAGCTCCCCTGGCAAGGAAACGTCAAGTTATAAGCTTAACACCTACCACTGGGTTTAATGAATCTCTTTTGGGAGCTGTGTGCCTATCATGGAGAGGAAGGAGCATGATAGAACTAATCTTTGATTAACAAGTTGTACTTGTTGACCAGATACCTCAGATTTAAAATTCTCATTCCAAGGGTAAGAAATGAACTGAATAAGAAAGACTTTCTTAAAGGTGCTAAGCCAGCCAGGCATGACAGATGTCTGCAATTGTAGCTATTTGGGAGATTGAAACAGGAACATGATTTTGAGGCTAGCCTATGCAACAAGAGACCCATCTCAAAAGGTGATGAATAAAACTTAAAGGTGAAGCTTGGCATGGTGGCTCATCCCTAGTTCTAACAATTCCAGAGGCTAAGACAATAGTATCACAAGTTGGAGGCCAGCCTGAGCAACTTGGTAAAACCATTTCAATTTTACACAGTGCCATTTTTGCCCTAAATTTTTAGCAAAGAATTAGGGAGAAATTTTGCCTCTGTTCATGGCTGTATTATTCTGAAATACTTCATGGTAAGAGTCTTCCACCCTTATAAGAGTGGTGTCAGGCATCTTTTGGACAGTTATATGGAGGGAAAGAATTCTAGGATCCTGTAGTTCAGTAAAATAATTCCTATTGAAATTGAAAAGTGAGTTTTATCATATTCTACTTAGACGAGATTATGAAAGTAAATTCCCCATTTTTGGTACTGGGGATTGAACTTGGAAGCCTGAGCCACATCCCTAACCCTTTTCTATATTTTAAGAAACAGGGCCTTGCTGAGTTGCTTAGGGCCTCACTAAATTGCTGAGGCTGTCTTTAAATTCAATATTTTAACTGCCTTAGCCTCTTAGAACTGCTGGGGACTACAGGTGTGTGTACCACCACACCTGGCAAATTCCATACTTGTAACATGAGGAAATAGATTTGATGTCTTGTTCAAGTTCCTATAACCACTTGATCATATAATCCAGATAACTTCCAACTTTTGCTTTAGATTAGCATGTATCAAAGTACACTATTGCCTTCCCCCATTAGAATGGGAACAAGGCTTTTTCTAAGCAGCTAGTCTAAGGCCCTGCTCTTTACAACTTGAAATGTGGGAATATCTTCAAACCTGTTAGAAATAGGAGGCATGGAGCCTATTTGGCACATAAATGTAATCCACCAGCTCAGGATACTGAGGCAAGAGAATTAAAAGTTCAAAGCCAGCCTCAGCCAAAGTGAGGCACTAAGTGACTCGCTGAGACCCTGTCTCTAAGAAAAATACAAATAGGGCTGAGTCTAGCTCAGTGGTCAAGTGGCCCTGAGTTCAATATCTGGTACCCTTCCCCTGACAAAAAATGTGGGTCAGGTGTGGTGCATGCCTGTAATCCCAGCAGCTGGGCAGGCTGAGACAGGAGGATCACAAGTTAAAAGCCACCCTTAGCAGTGGTGGGGTACAAAGAAGCTTTAGGTTTTTATTCCTTAAACCCAGGCTAGAGACCATGTGTAAGCATTGGGGTTCTACTGGAAGTGTGTTTTCCCTGTTGAGATGGAGTTTGTAAAATGGTATGGTAGGATGGAGGTAAAACACTGCAGAAGGGAAGTGGTATGATTCAGTGATGGAGGAGATTGAGAGGCACCAAACCCCAAGTTAAGGAGTTTGATTAAACTTTGATGTGACTAAAAAGTCTAAAACTTAGTTTATTATATCCTGGAGTTTTGTGAGAGAAGGCTAATAAAAGATTTTCTTTTTTTTTTTTTTTTTTAGTTTTCGGTAGACACAACATCTTTATTGTATGTGGTGCTGAGGATCAAACCCAGGCCGCACGCATCCAGGCGAGCACACTACCGCTTGAGCCACATCCCCAGCCCAAATAAAAGATTTTCAAGGTCTTGAAGAAGAGGGCCCAGGCCCCAAAACAAGAATTGGGTAGTAATTATCTAACATGTCCAAAGATTTTATGAGAGTGCACATTTTACTTCACTTTAGACTAGGTTTTACCAGTGCTTGGGTATGAAATGCTCTGAAACTTTGGTGTGTAATTTGAATTCATTCCAATCAAGAACAACAGTTCACTCGGTTTTCTGAGAGCTCTGGCACATCATGACCAAAGCTGAGAAGCAGAAGAAAAAAAGCCTGTGGGCTTTTTTGTGCTCCACAGGTAGAGAGAAGAGAGATCTAATTAAACAGGTCTTGGTGGCACACACCTGTAATCCCAGCAGTTTGGAGGATTGCAAATTCAAGGCTAGCCTCAGCAATTTAGTGAGAGCCTCTCAAAAATAAAAAGGACTAGGGATGGGGGTGTAAAGCACCCCTGGATTAAATCCCCAGTATCTAAACATCAGGAACCTTGCATGGAGGGCCCATCCAGTTTTGGCACCTCTCCCAACTTTATTAATGGGTCTTCAGAGAGAGAGGGGTTCCTCAGATCATCCTTTATCCCTGTCTCTTAAAGGGGGATGAAGGTGGATAAATACCTAGGCTTCCCTCCCCACCCCAACAAGTAGTGTTGTAGGGAGTGCCCAGGTCCCTCAAGAAAGAAAACAGTGGAAAGCTATTTCTGCAGAACTTTTTATAGACCAAAGTCTATACTAGAGGTGGAGGTTGGAGGCCTGAGAAGCTAAGCTCCTTCCCCCTTCCCCACCCTCAAACTCCCCCACCCCCCGTTTTTTTTTTTTTTTTTTTTTTTTTGTTTTGTTTTGTTTGTTTGCAGTGCAGAAGATTAAACCCAGGGTTTTGTACTTGCTAAGCATGCTATGCAAGCAAACAAATCATCTTCCACAGCTGCATCCCCAGGCAAGGCAAACCTCTTCAAACACAACTTGTAGCTTTCAAATGCCAGGGTTCCCCCTTCTTTAGTTCTAATGAATTCAGTGTCTTCTGGATCTCAAGGTTCCCTTTATCAGTCCCCTTCTCTGAGCCAGTTCAATCTGTGGCCTCCATCTTGGTTCCCCGGGGCACCAGGAAGATGGTCCCATCTGCAGCCTGTTGCAGAGCATACTCATCAGGGGAGTAGCTGTTGCCAGATTCATCCCGAAGGTGCTGGAAAATGTCACGGTACAGCTCTGCCAGCTGTTGGCGCATGACCTCCAGGGTACGGTCTGCCTCTCCCCGGGCCCTGAGAAGCCTCTCCCTTTCATTGCCCAGCCGTTCCAGCTCTCGTTCCAACTGCACAATGGTTTCCAGCTTTCTCTTACGACAGTTCTGGGCAGCCACCTTGTTCTTGCCCCGACGTCGGATGTCCCGAACTAGTGCCAGCTGGCTTTCAGTCAGCGGATACCGTGCCAACAGCTCATTAAAGTCATCTACCGGCAAGTTGACAATCTTGTCTGTAGGGAAGGGAATCTTCATGGCCAGAGCCCGACGCTCATCCCGACTTCCTGCCTCGCCCCTTGCAGTAGGCTTAGTGCGCACCGGGCCTGAAGAGGGCTCTAAGGCCATGGGGGTCTCAGCAGGGGGCAAGGCATAGTTAGGGTGGGCCAGAGAGTTGGACATAAGTGAGTAAGGGTACTCCACTGGATACATCTCTACACACTCATTCCGCCGCCGGCCAGCCTCTGTCCCCTCCAGCTCAAGAGATTCAGCATCACTGTAGTTGAGGGATAATCCTGAGTCTGATTCTGGGTCCTCTTGGGGCTTGGGTGGCCCCGCTGGCAGCCCAATGTCCAGAAGGGTTAAGGGGTCTGGGAGGGGCTCACTGAGCAAGCCTGAAAGGGTCAGTGGCTTAGAGACTGGAATAGCCATGTTGCCATAGGAGTATGGGGGGTCTTCTGGAACATGAGTCACAGATGCTGGGAGCTCATAAGGTGGTGGAGGAAGTGGAAAACCTGGATCTGGGTGGATTGAACAGGGACAGTAGGTTGGGGGTGGTGGAGGTCCAGGGTATGGGGCCTGGGCTTGGAGCTCAAAGGATGGCTCACTTGGAGCATTTAGACCCTGCAAGGAAAGAGAAAAGAGTTTTGAGACAGGCTGCCAAAGTGAAGCCAGCCCTGGGGCTGGGATTGTGGCTCAGTGGTAGAGCACTTGCCTAGCATGTGTGAGGCACTGGGATTGATCCCGGCACCACATAAAAATATTAACAAAGGTATTGTGTCCATCTACAACTGAAAAAAATTTTTTAAAAAGGTCCATTGACAACTAAAAAATATTTTAAAAAAAGAAATCTGGGGATATAGCTCAGTTGGTAGAGTGCTTGCCTCACATGCACAAAACCCTGAGTTCAATCCCCAGCACCAAAAAAAAAAAAAAAAAAAAAGAAGAAGAAGAAGAAAAAGAAGAAACCAGCTCTATCACAGTCCTTCCAAAGACCCAATGAGGAAAGATGTGCACAAAATTGGAAGCTTCTTGCGAAGTGGAGATGCAACCATTCCAAGAAGAAAGCAGCATAAGCAAGAATAGAGGTCACAGGGGTCAGACTTCAGAGAAGACCACCTAATATTAGAACAATTACAGAACCTCCTCCTCAAGAGAAGCTCTTACTGTATTAAAATGGCTCCTGCTCCATTATTTCCTTCAGGAAGGCAAGGTATTGTTAGCCAAGATGACCCCTCAGAACCCCTTCCTGCTGTGGTAATCTAGGGACAAAGGGTCAAGTTCAGTCCCTGGCCATGCCCTGGGTGCCAGCAGAGGGAGCTGTTGTGTGGAAGGAGGGCCTAGGGCAGATCCTAAAGGTGCCAGGGCCAGTGACTGGAGACAGGCACAGAGCCAGGCCTGGAGGCTAAGAAGCACCTTGGGGAACCTGCACAAGCTCTACCCTCTAACTCTTCAGTCCTTCTGTCCCTGCCCAGGTGCAGCAAGGAGAGAACATACTGGAAACAAGGCCCCCAACCCACGTAGGGGAGCCACCTTGCTCCAACCCAGCTGGGGACAAAGGCATCATTGTTAGGCCAACAGACACCCCTTTGTCCAACTTGTAGGAGGAGAGGACCCCGGCATAGTCTGACTCCCCTTCCTAAGGCCCCTGAACTACTGCTCTGCTACCTGGGGGAAAGGGGCCCTGTTGCTAAGGGCAGGGGGAGGAAATAAGGGAAGAAGATGAGCAGGATTGGAGGAGAGGGAGGTCAAAAGAGAAGGTGAGAAAGGGAGGGCAGAAAAGGAGGTAGGGTAGAGAGAGGCGAGCAGGCAGTTTCTGAGAGGGGCCTCTACCCTAATCAGACCCTTCCCTCCCCACCACTCCTTCCCCAGCCATCCACTCTCCCATCTCCCCATTGTCCCCAGATGTTTCCATGCACACTCCCCAGCATTTCTTTTCCTCTGTTGGCAACACTGGCAGCCTGAGATCTGCTCCTCCCACCCCTGCGCCAGTCCTCCCCTCCTGCGCCAGTCCTCCCCTCCTGCGCACCTGCAGCTCAGCAATGGACATGATCTCTTGCCAAGTCAGTTCCATCTCGCCCAGCTCCACAGTGGGCAGCTGTGTCACCCTGTTCCTGCTCTGCTGGGGAGGACACGGGGGCATCCTACTGGGCGAGGATCTGGGCCAGGTTCCCCCAAAGCCCGAAGGGCCTCCACAACCTGTATGGAAGGAAGAAAGGCATTAGAGCAGCTTCTGCTAGGCCTGGCAAGTTTGTCCTGCCTGAGGGGAGGGAGACCTTGCCGGCGCACTCATGTTGGACTTTTAAACTGGAAGGTCCTTTTGTGTGATGTGGTCTCCATCACAGCTACCATGGCCATGGCAGTTCCCTTAGGAGAAGCGCAGTAAACTTTTACCTTTTTTTCAAACAAGGTGCTTTCTCCTTGCCCTACTTCTCACTCTCCAAAATTATATTCCTGGCCAGAGACAGGGTCAGATCTTCTGAACTTCTTAAACTTGGTTTGGTTTTCCATCTTGGGAAGAAAAATATCAGGAGAGTCACCCCAGCTTTCCTCCTGTGTCTTCAGTTTTTGGGTCTCAGTCTTTTCTTCCTGAGAGTAAGTGGGGGATCCCCTAGGAGTGTTTGGGAAGTGCAGACAGCCCCTCCCCTTCTCTGATAGGGCCCAGGCCTGGTGGCTGATAGCAGCCCTGCCCTCTCCTCCTATCCTGACCCTGGGCTCCCCTGCCTGGGCAAGATAAGAGGTTTATCAGCTGCAGGCAGCAGAGGCAAAAAAGGAATGGGTTCTAGAGACCCTGGACCTCTTCCCTGTGTCCCCATAGGGTCATTTTGGCCATACCCTAACTCACATAAACAGGGGTCTTTCCTCTTCCGAGGTAATATGACAACTACAGCAAAGACTTATTAAGTCCTTGTCAAAACTGTCCTAAGCCAGGCACAGTGGTACACTCACTTAATCCTAGCAACTTGGGAGGCTAAAGCAGGAGGATCACAAGTTCAAGGCAAGACTCGTCATCCTAGTGAGACCATTAGTAACCGGGCAAAACCCTGTCTCAACGAGAGAGAGAGAGAGAGAGAGAGAGAGAGAGAGAGAGAGAGAGAGAGAGAGAGAGAGAGAGAGAGAGAGAAAGAAGAGAAGAGAAGAGAAAAGAAAAAGAACTGTTGTTCCAGTGCTTTACAAGCATTATTAGTTTATAAGATTGATTTTCACAGTTAGATGCAGTAGCACACACCTGAAATACCAGTGACTAGGGAAGCTGAAGCAAGAGGATCATCAACAATTTAGCAAAACTCTGTCTGAAAATAAAATATTAAGGGCTGGGGGTGTGGCTCAGTGTTAAAGAGCCCCTGGGCTCAATCCCAAGTACAAAAAGAAAGAAAAGATTTCCACAGATCCTATAAGGTCTTTGATTCAAGCTGAAAAATGGCAGGATATGATCTGGAACCTGACTCTGCTCATCCATAAGGCCTCCCAGTATCATTTCTGGGTCTTCATACTCTGGGCCTCTATTGGCAGTCTGTTTCAGTCAGTTCTTTCTGTGGTGTCTCAGTCCCTTTTCTCTTCTGGGCAATATCTCTCTCTGTCTCTCTGTCTCTCTGTCTCTCTCTCTCTCTCTCTCTCTTTTTTTTTTCCTGTACCAGGAGTTGAAAATTGAACCCAGGAGCACTTTACCACTGAGCTACATCCCCAGGCCTTTTTTTTTTTTTTTTTTTTTTTTTTTTTTTTTTTTGAGACAGGATCTCATTAAGTTGCTTAGGGCCTTGATAAATTGCTGAGGCTGGCTTCAAACTTGTGATCCTCCTGCCTCATCCTCCTGTATTGCTGGGATTACAGGTGTGCACCACCATGCCCTGCTGGGGAATACCTCTTTAGACCTTTGAGTACTACACTCCTATCCAGAGCCTGTTCTTTCCTCATTTATAAAACTAAGAAGTTAGACAAGTTGAACTTGGAAGTCCCTTTCTGCTTGACAGCTTAAAATCCTCAGAAAACCCTTATCTCTGTTTGTCTTCTCTATGTCAGTCMCTTTCCTGGTCCTACCTTCCTATTCCCTGACACTGCATCTGTTCTCCTTGACTTCAGCAAGAGAAGTAGATTTAGCAGGGGCTTTCTGATCTCTRAGGCCAGACACGGCATGCCTCGGTTTACACACCACCACCATTACCACCACCACCACCACATAGAAGAGAAGCAGGCTAGAATAAAGGAAATTTATAGGACAGAGGATAGGACTGGATAACCTCACCCACCCACCACAAGGATTGACCATCACAACTATTTAATAAGGAATTTACTCTTGGACTTAACTATAAAATTGGTGGAAAGTACAAATTATTCTTTTGAAAGAGGATCTCCCTGAGTCCTGTCTCCACCCCCTTATTATAGTGCCATCCCCAGAGCTGGGAGTCCATGTAGGCACAGGCCCTCGGCCAGTGGGCAGAGTGGGTGGGGTGTTTATGTCTGTCCAGGATGCCATTTCAACACCGGAAACCCACCCTCCCCCACCCAGGTTTGGCGGAAATTGCCCAAAGGCAAAGTGAATGGAGAAGGGGGCTTGGAGGGCAGGGACAATGATTCTTGCTTCACAGTTCTTCACCCACCTCACCCCTCCTTTGTCTCTCCTGTCTTCCTGGATCTGAGCCAAAGGTGCAGTACAAAGATTCTGCTCTAGGAGGCAGGAGACCAGGTTCTCTGGCCTTCAAGACCTTGGGTAAATTACTTCACATTCAGTCTCTTCCATCAAATGGAGACAGGACTGAAGAAAATTACTGCTGAGAGGAAATAGATTACATCTAGCTCTGGGAGTCACAACCTTTGTGTACCACATTCACCTGGGATATGTGTAAAAAACAAGATTCCAGAAAGCTGCTGCAGACCTGCTGGGTTAAATTCATAGCACAGGAACTAAGAASCAGCATTTTAACAAGTGCCTGATGATTCTCATGCAACAGCCCAATTTCATCATGAGAAACACTAAAATAATCCATCTGTATGGATTTACAGGAAAGAACAGAAAACCAGAAAGGAGATCAGCAAATGTTCTTCTCTAGACTTCTTCCAGCTTCAAAACCTTGATCTAGGCTGGGCTGGGGGTGGGGRTGCATTTCTGTAATCCCATGAGAGTTCAAAGCCAGCCTCAGGCAAAAAGCAAGATGTTAAACAACTCAGTGAGACTCTGTCTCTAAATAAAATACAAAAAGTAGGGCCAGGGATGTGGCTCAGAGGTCAAGTGATACTGAGCCCAAACTCCAGTACCCTCCCCACCAAAAAAAMACACACACACACACAAAAAAAAAMAAAAACCTTGATCTGGGCAGTTCATCTCTGAGCCTAGATGCCATGAGCCTTTGTTTTATCCTGAGACAGGGTCTTGCTAAGTTTCCAAGGCTGGCCTCAAACCTGTCATCCTCTCTCCTCAGGCTCTTGAACAGCTGGGATTACAGGCATGCACCACCACACTGGCTAAATCAGCCCTTTCTGATGAAGACCTGGAACTTGGTCTTCCCCTTCTTGCTGTAATAGGAAAATGAGAACATGGAAGAAGAGCAGGGGGAGGCAGGAGGCTGAGAGAGAAGAAGTTGAGATCCCTGGGCCAGTTTGAGCCAGCTGTCTGGTGCAGCAGTAAGGATGCACCAGGCTGCAGGGGAAGTAAGAGCTTGATATTCTCCAAAACTCAAGAATGAACAATGGTCTTTATAACAAGTGAAAGTGAAGTAAAGTTTAGGGGGTTCTAGAAGCCTACCTTTCAGASGACCAGCAAGTTGGCAGCCAGTGGCTAGATCACTAAGGAGGATGTAATCAGAAATGAATCAGACAGAACGGCCATGAAGAATGCAGAAACAGCTGGGTGTGGTGGCACAAGCCTATAATCCGAGGAGCTCAGGAGGCTGAGACAGGAGGATTGCGAGTTCAAAGCCAGCCTCAGAAAAAAAGCAAGGTGCTAAGCAACTCAGTGAGACCCTGTCTCTAAATAAGATACAAAATAGGACTAGGTATGAGGCTTAGTGGTTGAGTGCCCCTAGGTTCAATCCCCCGTATTAAAAAAAAAAAAAAAAAGGCCCTGTCTCTAAATAAAATATAAAAAAGGGCTGGGGATGTGGCTCAGTGGTTTAGTGCTCCTGGGTTCAATCCCCAGTACTAAAAAAGGAAAAAAAAAAAATGGGGCTGGGGACATAGCTCAGTTGGTAGAGTGCTTGCCTCACACACAAAGCCCTGGGTTCAATCCCCAGTACCACAAAAAAAAAAAAAAAAAAAAAAAAATCAGAAACAGAGGAAAGAAATACTGGAAAAGAAGTAGAGTGGACTTCCCTATGTCCCTTTTCTTTGTAATTAGCAGCTCTAAATCTTGACGTCACACAACCACTTTACTTCATTCCTTCTCTTATTTCTCAACATTATGGATCAGGTAGAAATGGAGTCACTAACAGGGAACGAAAATCCATCCTCCTTATTCACCCAGATGGTGTCAGTCAGAAGGATTTTTCTTTTTTTCTTTTTTTTTTTTTTTGGCAGTGTTGGGAATTGAACCCAAGTTCTTGTACATAAGTAAGTGATCTACCACTGAGCTATATCCCCAAATCTCCAGGAAGATCTTATCACAATCCTGAAGTGCTCACAGAATGAAACAGAGCTTTATGCTTAGGGATTCAGGATCATTTGGAGAAGGATGCTGGTGGGAGGAGGATATTTGGCCCCCACTGCTGTCCAAGGCTCTTAACTTCCTTGACAAAGGAGTATGATAGAGAGGGGGCTTGCCCCAGTGTCCCAGTTCTCAGGCTTATTAGACTACTTCCACTTCTCCAGGTGTCAATACAGGGGAAAGGTCAGTAAAATTTGGAGTGTGGGTTAGTTAAAAAGATTAGGAAGAACTTCCAAAGAGGAAGAAGCACACAGAGGCAAGACAGAGAAAGTACTTGTGTGAAGGAAAAGGGAAGAGAGAGATTTGAGCAGMGTGAGTGCAGTCCTCTGGGGACATATATGACTCAAACATGTGTATGGGAACAAGGGAAAGGGGGGGACAGGTTTCTGCTATCCTGTCATTCTATCCCTAGACCCCAAATTCCAATCTTCTGACACCAATGACTAGAGACTCGGGACCTCAGCAGATCAGATACCATCCCCATTCTCTTCCACCGCATCCCCATTTCCCCAGTAGCCAAGTTCCAGATGGAAGGAACGACACTGTGGTTGGGAT